AGGGAGGGGGGAGGGCTTCTCAGAAGGAGGCTGCTTCTTGAAGGGCACGGGCCTCACATCTACAAATAAGGCCCGCGCCTTCTAAAAGAAGCAGGGGTGCCTCTGAGAAACCCTCCCCCCTCCCCCCTCTGCGCGTGGTGTATCGGCGATACATCGGCGATAGGCCCCCGATGGCACATCCGCACGCTCCTGGGGGGCAGGGTTGGGCTATCGGGCCCCCGCCAGCGATGAATGGACGATCGGGGATCGATGTATCCGCCTCTCAGCCTACGCCCGCCCCCTAATGTCTGTCGCCCCTGAAACTCGCCATCGCTCAGAAGTTGAATCCCCGTGCATTTTTCGATTTCGTTCGTTTGTTGATCCACATGATGATTGAATCATGTTCCTCGATGGTCCTCGCCGAGAAGAAGAAATCACACGTCCGAGCGGTACCAAGGAAACCGCTCCTCCTCCGAGGGAGGAGCTCCAATGAGGATACCTCGAAGGGCCTTCTGCCTCGCGGGAGGAGGAGGAGGAGTAGTAGGAGAAGGAAGAGGAGGAGGAGGAGGAGGAGGAGGAGGAGGAGGAGGAGGAGGAGGAGGAGGAGGAGGAGAGGAGGAGGAGGAGGAGGAGGAGGAGGAGGAGGAGGAGGAGTTTTTTTGCTAGGAGCTGCAGGCAGCACAAGCATCAGGAAACCTGAGATTGAACGCCTGGTGAAACAGACACGGATCACGAGGAGATCCGACCACCCCCACTGCAAGAGGAGGTTGAGGGTGTAGGGGCACTGTGCCCACTGTACCCTTCACCCCAGGAGCTGATTCCGCACCTGGGAGGCAATCCCTCCTGAGGCGCTGCAGCGAAGTGTACTGCGCCTTGACAAGATCATGTCGACCATATTGGTCGACTTCACACAAACCTGTTAGAAAACCAGGATTCGCAGAGGACGTGTACCGTCCGCATTTACTACAAAAGCAATACGAGCCTTTCTCCCACAAGTCGTGGGAGGTGTGAAGCATCTGGCAAAAAAAAAAGAAGAAAAAAAAAAACCTGCCTTCAAGACGTCTCGGCGGGTGCGATCCACAGACAGTCCTGAAAAGAGCCTCATCTATGGGCGGAGACCTTAAAAACTTATCCGAGAGCACAACAGCTCCTGGCCTCCTTCCTCCACCTCCACCAGACCCCCCCCTCCTTTTTTGCCACGCCCCCCCTGGTGAAAAAAGGGGGCCTGGCCTTCAACCCCAGCTTCTGCAGCAGGAGGCTCGGGCGGGACCGGGGGGGCGGGCGGGGCAGGCAGTCCTCAGGTAGGTCATGACGGATGAGCTGCTGGAGAGGACCAGCTTGCCACACCTGAGACAACGCCACCCCGCACCTATGGGCTGAAAACGGTGGGAGGAGGCTGCCGCTGCCGCCTCGCGCCTTTAGTCCGCCTCTCATCGGGAGGGACTGGCACGGGCTTGACCTCTCGAAGCGGCACACGAGGACACGGGGCAGCAACAATTGACAAACTCGCATTGCGGAGAAGAACCGACTCAGCCTTGGCGACGAGGTCGAGAGCTCTCTTGCAAACATCAGGGGCGATCTGGCAAAGCTCGCACCTAGAGTCCGCAAGGCCGTCCGCTACTGAGTTGATGAAGATAGCCCCAGAGGGGGGCACCTGCAGCCAGCCTCTGAAACTTAGTCTCATCTTCGGCCAAGGTGGGACGGCACATGCTGCAGCTCAAAACTGCCTGAACGCACGTGCAGGAGAGCATACAGCTCATGCCACAAATCCGCGTGCTCTAATTTAAAACAGTGGTGTCTCCCTTTGCTGAGGGATCGAACATGATTGATGTGATCGCAAAGATAAAAAGATCCGCTGAATGGTCGACAACCCTAACGCACTCGACAATAGCACACAACTCGGCCCTCGGCACAGACTGCTTAGGGCTGCCGACCACACCGGTGCACCCCGAGCCCCAACCTAGGCCATCAAGACCTTCAGGATCCAGGCGTGCAAAGGCCCAAGACACCCGCCGAAAAAGTTAGCTCTTTGACCAAATGCCCCCTGGGCCATCGACCCCATAAATGCCCCCAGGGAGGTGCGCGCCCTCAGGCCGTCGAATCCAGACATGGTCCTTTCACGAGGGAGGAGGAGGGAGCTCCAACCAAGCAAGGGGGACCAGTCCACGGCACCAGAACATTGGGCAGCTACCAACCTCCTGGAGGGCTTCGGGGATCAGCTGGTTGGTGGCCACGAATTCGGGCGGGGGGGGGGGCTGACTGTCGACTTGGAGAGCCCAAGCCTCATCATACGTGTTGCACTGGCAGCTCCAAAATCTACGGGAGCTGGTCTCCGGAGGAGGAGGAGGGGGAGGAGGACGAAAAGGAGGAGGAGGGGGAGGAGGAGGAGGAGGAGGAGGAGGTAGATAGAGCGGCATTGGGGGGCAAGGCAGTGCATTCGGCCGCAAGGATGGGCCCCCGCCGTCGCCGCTCTGAGCGGCACCTTCATTGCGATCCCGGCGCCACGCGCGCCGATCGCCTTGCCGAACGAGGCGTAGTCGCATCGGCTTTCCGATATTCTCGTACTCGTAGTCATAGCCCTGCCCACCACGCAGCCAGCATGTCCTCCATGACTCCCGTTGGTGGTGTGCCCGTCTTCGCCGTAGCCTCCACTTGGATCGGCGATCGGTGGATGCTGTCCTTGGTGTTGCACTGCTGCTTCAGCTCCTCTGGCGGAACCTCCTCGGCCTCCGCGTCGGTCCTGAGCCCCCGCACGTTATGCAGTGTGATCTTCGCGAGGTAGCTGTCATCGCACTTGCTGATCTTCGGGCGTTTCGCTTTGCAGTGGTCGGTCGACACACTGAACTGGTCCACTGACTTCCCGCGCTCTGTAAACTGCTCCTGGTGTTGGCGCCCACTTCCGCGGGGCAGAGGGGCGAAATAGGCGAGTGACCCTTGCCCGTCTTCTTGTAGTTGTCCGCGTAGAGCGTTCTGCAGGCTCGGAGCGCCTTGATCACCTGGGTCTGCGCCGACGTCGGATACGTGCTGTAGACGGCGGAAACGACCCGTGCGAGCTGCTGAGAGTTGGCCAGCACTTGCATGATCTTCACCTTGATCGACTTCTGCAGCCTGTGGTCGCCCGCGGTCTGGTAGGCTACTCCTCCTCGTTGTTGGCGTCGTGGGGGTAATTCGCGCAACCGATGAGGCCAGCGGCCTTGAGCATGTGGAGGTAAAGGTGACCACGGCTTGGACTTGCACTGAAGCGGTCTGTAGAAGCAGCGCCCGACGGGGGGCAGCATGTGGAGTATGCGCAAGCCGAGGAGCTGGGGCTTGCCGTTCTTCTTGTCGATGGCGAAGCACTGGATGTGGTGGGCGTCGAGAGGGGCGAAGCCGACGCGGGGCGCGCGGTTACGGACTGGCTCGACGCTCTCCTGCGCGAGGGGGGCCTCAGCGAGCTCATCAACGTAGCCCGCGCCTGACGACTTCGGCTTCTGCTTGGTGGAATAGGTGGGCTGGGAGGTCATCTGGAAGATTTCGGCGGGCAGTATCCAGTCTGGCACGGGGGCGCACTTCTTGAGGCACTTGATGCGCTTAATGACGCCGCGGAGTGCTCGCTTGTAGCCGTCCGTGGCGTCCTCGTATTCCTGGCAAACTTGTAGGTTGTGCTCTGTGGCGGACTCGTGGGGGGTCTCTTTCGAGATGCGCTTGTCCTCCTCGAGTTCGAACGGGCGAGCGCTGAACCCTCCGTGCTGGCCGTCTGCTGCAATGTGAACTACCCACTCCTGCACGCTGGGGCGTGTTCTGGTCGCGCGGCTGTATTTGCGGTTGCGCTTGCAGTATTTGGAGCCGACCGTGATTTGAGACAGTAGTACTTCAGCGTGTACTCGTCGTTGCCAGGCCTCGTAGCTGCGTTCCTCTGGGTGTAATCGTCGTGCTTCGTGCTGGCGCTTCTGCTTCATGAAGTTCGCGAGGAGCTCCCCGAGTTCGTCCCCTGTGTTGTCCCCGACCGACTTCTTCGGCTTGTCCTGGTGCTTGCCGAGGTAGAACTCCAGCACGAATTGTAGGAGCATAGTCCTTGAGGCACTGCACTGTAGACGGGGCGTGTGGCCTGCCCGTGGGCACTGATGTACGTGGGCCCCGCATGCCGAGAATTGTGCAGGATGCACTTGCCGTTCACGTCGAGCGCGTAGTGGAAGGCGGCGGGTGCCTTTCCTGGTACTCCTGTAGCGCCTGCGTCGCCGATTACGTTGCTAAACTTGGCGGGAGGCAGTCCGCCCTGGCCGTGGTGGTCGTTCAGGTCAGGACCGTTGCTCGACGTGCTCCTGGTGGGCTTCGCGTGCTGGGTCTTGTTGATCCACTTGAGCTGCTCGTTGATCGTCTTGACCCGAGCGTGGTGGTGCATGGCGAGCCCTGACCGTGGAGTAGGGGACGCAACAGCGAACTTCATGTCGAGACCTCCTCGCTGAAAGCGAACTGCTCCTGCACGTCCTTGAATGCTCGGTGGCGGGCTGGGGGGCGCGGTCACGTACTCGAGGCGGTAGAGGTAGCTGATCGCGCTGGCCACGCCCTCTTGATTGTAGGTGAAAGGGCCGCTGCCGTAGCACCTCGCGACGGAGCGGTGCAGGTAGGTCTGGGGCTGGTCGTCGGGGCTGGTGAGGGCGATCTGCCTCCCATGAGTGGCTGGTAACGTGGTAACGTCGACTGCGCTGAACTGTCTCTCCAGCTGCAAGCTGCTCGGTGGCGCGACCGTGCTGAGCGTGTTATACACACCCCGTCGCAGTAAAATCATCCAGAAGAACGCGAGCGAGGGGAATATGGATGGCCAGCCGCGCTGGCATATCATGAAAGGTGCCCTGGTGGCGGAAGCTGCTCTGCGTGGGGTGCCTGCTGGGCCGCGAAGAAAGGGGCTAGAGCAGGAAACGGCGGCTGAGGAGGAGGAGGAGGAGGAGGAGGAGGAGGAGGAGGAGGACGAGGAGGACAGGGGGGGGAGGACGAGGAGGACGAGGAGGAAGAGGAGGGGGGGGTCGCGGGCTGGCGCGCGCCCGAGGGTGCTCCGGCAGCTGCGCGTCGCCGGGCCGGTCGGGCTCCTCGGCGGGCGGACGGACGGACGCCACTGCGACGGACGGACGACGACGACGACGACGACGACGACGACGACGACGACGACGACGACGACACGGACGGACGGACGGACGCCACTGCGAACAGAGTGTGGCCCTGGGGGGCCTGGGCGGGTGGAGCGGCGCGGCGCTCAGGTACCCTCGCCGTGTGGGACCCCCTGCTCCAACTCCTCCATCTCCTCCTCCTCCTCCTCCTCCTCCTCCTCTTCCTCCTCCTCCCCCTCCTCCTTCCAGTGTGTTGCATGGCACGTTCTTCACATATGTGACACGTTGTTGGGCTTCCACCAGGGACGGGGGGGGACACTTTGTTAACCTCTCTGTCCCAGCCGCGTGGCCGATGCCACCGATGTGCTTTGTGTGGAGGGGGGGGCAGGATTTGTCCCCCGCGCTCCAGCCACCTAGCTGCGGCCCAACGTCGGCCCAGGGGTGATTTAGAGACCTCCCCCGTGCGACAGAAGCAGCCGGCGCGAACTGAGACCTGCCGTGCAAGAGAAGATCCCGGTGCGAACTTGTGCGCACGATGTGCGCGAGTAGGTTCAATCCCACAATGTGAGACTACTTTCCATCATCCCGCCCTTTCGTGCCCTTGAGTCGGCTGCGCCTCGCCAAGAGCATTCCGGAACCCCTGGGGCATAAGAAGATGCCACCCTGGACGTCTCACGCGAAACGAAGCTCCAGAGCGGCCAGCTGGATTGGCCGTTGTGCTGGCCCCAGGAATCTTCCCGGGCCAGCCTGTGGCCCCCCCTGGCTGCATCCTCCTCAATGTGCGGGAACATTGGTCTTTGAATTGCCCCCCGAGTCCTGGGGCCCTCTGTGTTTTGTGACCTAGGGAACTGGGTCGGCCGTCGAACCACACACAGTGTGGGGAGTGATCCCAGACCCCTCAGGTCTGGAAATGTTGACTGTGTTAGCGTCCCGGCTCAAGCTGTGCTTTCGTGGCCTTCCTGTCACCCCTAGCCGTTCCCTCCCACCACAATTCTTCCGCCTTGCTCCTTTTCTCCTCCCCCACCGACCTTCGGTCCTTCTCCTCATGGTCGCGCCCGTAATGCCTACACGCCTTTTGCGTCTGCAGCTGTATCTGCGCGGGACGCCCGTCCTTGTACGCAGCCGGGGACTGTTTGCGGCTGTTGTCTGTTGCTTCTCCTGTCGGACCCAACCTGGCCCCTGATTGTGTTGGCTCTGGCACACAAAACATCGGCCTCGTCTTACCGTTGGCCCCGCCCTGTTTCTTCTCCGCGCCCCCATCCGCACTCACCGTACTGGTGCGTCGAGTCCTCGGTGGTGGTTCCTGCGGCGCGAGATCCCTCCGCATCCCCCGGAGGCCTTTGTGATTTTGGACCGGTTCCTATTTCGCTCACCCGTGCACCCCCCGCCGCCATCACCGTCCTCCCGTCTGCGTCCCTCCTAGTCCCCTTCCCTCTCCCGACTCTCCCCTGACATCTCCTTCCCCCCTTCCACTCGCTCTACCCCAGCGATCGTCGTGACGATGGCCAAACGGACCATGGTCCGTTTGGAAAGGGGGGAACACCAAGGTGCCATGATACTCCCTCGTGCTGTGGCTCCGCCGCGAGCGCTCCTTCGGTGCCGTGTCTGTCACCCCCGGGCTATGGCTTCGCAGAGAGCTGCTCGATGATACGTAATATCTGTATTCGTATCTTCCGAGCCCGGGCCTGACCCCCCCCCGCCGAGAATTGTGGCAGGGGGTCCATGATGCCAGGGCGCGTCATTCGACCGACGGTCGAATAAAATCGGGGGGGAGCCCACGGTGCCAGAGCTCGTCATTCGACCTACGGTCGAATAGAATGCCTCGCCGAGGGCGAGTTACCATCCCCGAGATTTGTGGAAGGGAGTCCACGGGCCAGGGCGTTTCATTCGACCGACGGTCGAATAGAATCGGGAAGGGTCCATGGTGCCAGAGTTTGCCATCCGACCGACGGTCGAATAGAATAGCTGCTCGATGATACGTAATTGTTGTATTTCGGATCTTCCGAGTCCGAGAATGAGGGGTGGAAATTCGAGCAGCCATTCCTGACGGATGGGCACCCTATCCCGAGGTACGGCCGAAAGCTATAAGTAGGGTTTGGCCCCCTTGGTATCAGCAGGTGGCCGATAGCTTTCGGCAGTACCTCCAACTTTGAGGATGTGGCCGCCTCATCCTTAAAGATGGGTTTAGGTACCCTTGAAGCCTACAGCGCGCTTGGTACTCCTCCCCCTCCTCCTCCTCCTCCTCCGCCTCCTCCTCCTCCTCCGTCTCCACGAAAATGCCGACAACTGCACAATTGACACCACTCACGGAGGCGAGAAATGGCTTGATCGGCGTTGCACCACACTCCGCTGGACCCGCCAAAACCTCACAGAAAAGGCGACGACCGCGCAATTCACACCCAAGGAGGCTAAATCTCTAGTTCTGATCCGCGTCGCACCGCACTCCGCTGGCCCCCGTCCCAGAAGCGAAACTCACGTAAACGGCGACGGTTGTGCACTTGGTACCACCCAGGGAGGCGTGGTCGAGTTTCGATCCGCGCCCCGCACTCCGCTTGGGCACAACAAGCTCACGAAAGTGGCGATGCTAGATAGGTTGGCATCAACCCAGGAGGGGCGTGGTCTACCTTCGAAATACGTTGGACCGCACTTCGCGGGACCATCCGCAGGCTCTCGACGAGAGTGGTGACACTTTTGCAGTTGGCATCAGCCAGGAAAGCGAAGATCAGTATCGAGGAGCGTAGCACCACACTCCGCTGGACCCGACACACACACACAAACACACACAGACACATACAGGCACACACAGACACACACACACACACCAACACACACCAACACACACACACACCAACACACACACACACACCAACACACGCACACACCAACACACACCAACACACACACACACACACACACACGCAACACACACAGACACAGACACAGACACAGACACAGACACACACACACACACACTCACGAGTGGCGACAGTGGCGCAGTTGAAACCACCCAGGAAAGTTATGTAGGAGGCAGGCCCGGAGTTAGGAGGCAGGGGGAGACGAGGTATGAGGCAAGTAGGACGTGGGAGGCAATAGGAGAGAGGGGGGGCGGGACAGGAAAAACAACGACTGGCCAATACATGAGGGGTGGCACCCCAAACCTCGAATGCGTTGAAACACTTCATGTGGACGTCTCTGGGGCTTTCTGCCTCTGGGTGCCCTCGCCAGGGCCCCAGGACCGCCAAAAAAACGACTCGGGAAGAAACGCTGGCCCTGGGAAGAGGGACGGGACTTGATCGGTTTCTTATTCATTGTTTTGCCGATCGGCGCGGGCCCTCGCACCCCCCTTCCCCCCCTTGTGGAGTAGATCTTGGCTGTTTTTGGCACCTGTTTCGAGCAGGTGGGGTCCTCCCCACAGGACGCACTGCTGCAACCAGTCGCATCAAGCAGAGGTCCAGAGCCAGACCCCCCCTCCCCCCCCCCTTTCAGCCCAATGCCGAAACGCCGAATCAGAAAACGGTCACCTTGGGGACCCCGTATTGAAACCAAGCTTAGTGGTTTTCTGCCTCTGGGTGCCCTCGCCGGGCTGCAGGACCGCCAAAAGACGACTCGGGAAGAAACGCGGGCCCTGGGAAGAGGGACGGGACTTCCGGGGACCCCGCATTGAAAAGAAACCGAAAGCGTCGGCCGTCTGGGACTCGCTCCTGGAAGCGCGGCTCCAGCGGGTTCCGCCGTCCGCTGTTTCGTGAACTAGGATGAGTCGCAGGGTAATCTCGGAAAGTCGCTCATCCTTACCATGCGGGTTGTCTGTGCTGCCGATCCCCCATCAACAGTGCGCCTTGGTCTTCTCTTGCTCAACAACTGTACTTTTCGACGCTGGCACCCCGTCTTCTGTTGGGGATGACGGGGAGGCTCAAACTGTGCTGTTGGCGCCCCCCCAGACTACAACAATAACGACTCCCGAAGGAGACCTCCTCAAAACTTACTCAGGCATCGCGCTCTTGCCCCAATACTTCCCCACAATTTGCTGAAGAATCGCGCTCAAGTCTAAACGAACCTCCATTCATTCAGGAATTGTGTTTCTGCATTGGGACTTTCTTTGGGATTCCCATGCGCGAGTATGTTGTGTTTTGAGGCTGCTGAGCGCACTTCCTACCGCGACCCCCTCTCTCCGTTTCCCCCCTCCTCCCCTTCTTCCCCGTCCTCCATGTTTCCCTTCCTACTCCTGGGTCCCAAATCAGGACGTTCTTGATGGTCGGTAGAAATTTTATGTTACGGGTCAATCGAATTTCTTCCAAGTCCCCAAAATGGTTCTAGCCCGCAAAGCGTGATCCGTGTGAGGGTGTGCCAATATTGGCGAAGAGATGCCATCTCATCCGGCAAGCTCGAGCGCCGTTTCCTTCAAACCAGAGCTCCCGTCTTCACTGCGACCTCGTGGAGCGATCGCCTGAGAAGGAGGCAATTTGGCTAGTGAAAGGGAAGCTTGTGGGGACACCTGGGTGGAGGACTTCGGGTTGGAGGGTGCGTCGCAACATCGTTGGCACATCTTGGACTTCATCTTGTCACTCACCCGCCCCCAGGTCCCACATCCCGCTCCTCGGCCAACGCCTCCTCTTCATCCTCTCTCTCTCGCCTGCCGCCCCACCCAGGGGCTCCAGCTGCGTAGGGCGACGAGTTTTATGAATATCCACCGCCGCTTGCCGGGCCCGCCCTGGGCACAGGAGCGCAGTAAATGTAGAGGTCTCCTAGACGGGGTCGGAGTAGATGGGGATCGCGCATCGGCGACGCCAGCGTGGAGAAAATCGGGCTCCACATCGAGCCGCATCGCCGATGCTTCGACGATGCGGCGCGATCCTCCGACCCCATCTACTCGGACCCCATCCTACTAGGCCTACAATCTGCCTCCCTGGCCAAGCCCTGCGGCGGCCGTGCTGATTGCCAGCCGTCCGCAGGACCACCAGCAGCAGAGCCGACACCAGCGGCCACCACGAGCTGGACGAGCTGCAGGCAGCACACACGGTGGGCAAGCAGAAGGCACAGGCGGGCAGCGGCGGCCAGGGGCACAGTCGGCACGTACCACAAGGATGCGCGGTAAGGATGCAAGGGCCTTGGAAGGCCATTTCGAAGCTTTTCGAGCGAGGTGAGGCCAACGAGAGTGGCCAAGGATGGACCGAGGAGGCAAGGATGCAAGGGTACCCTTGGGAAGGGTGCCCGTCCTTACCATGCGAGTTGACTGTAGAGGCACAGCACATGGCACAAGCAGAAACTTTCGGAGGTCCGCGCAGATTTCTTGGATCGGCGCTGGAGGCGCTGCCAGGGGGTCCCAGCGCCGATCCGAGTAACATCCGCGCGGAGCCCCGAACACTTCTGCTTATGTCGCTGTTGCCTTCTCCGAAGACAGGCGAGCGCGTTCCGCCACTCGCAAAGCAGCTGCGCGCAAATGGCCTGGTTTCGCCACGGGGGGGGTCTACGATAATTTACGTCGGGGCGAACGTGTGTTTTTCGGACGTTTGCGAGTAGGCACTTTTTGCGAGCAACGGAACGCGCTCGGTGAGTTTGGAGTCCCGAAACGGTGCGGTGACAGACCGTGCGGTGACCTCGAAATCCCCCGAGACCTCACCGCACGGTCTGTCACCGCACGGTCTTGGGACCCCGGAGGCCCCTGTCGCCCGAAACGTCCTCGGAGAGGGACCCGAGTCCCAAAACCGTGCGGTGACCCCGAATCCCCACCGACTCACCGCACGGTGTGGTCACCACCCCGTTTCGGGGGCCCCCGAGGTGAGAGGAGGGGCGGGCGTCCTGAGCGCCGACCATGTAGCCCGGGGGCATGCCGGGGCCGAAGGCGCCGTGGCCCCAGCTCTGAGCCTGGCTTGGGCGGGGCCCTTCTCCTGCCCCCCCTGCTCCACCTCTATGTCCTCCTGCTCCTTTTGCTTCTTCTCCTCCACCTCCATCATCGTCGTCATCATCATCATCATCATCATCATCATCATCATCAGCATCATCATCAGCATCATCATCATCATCAGCATCATCAACATCATCATCATCAGCATCATCATTATCATTATCATCAGCATCATCAGCATCATCATCATCAGTATCATCAGTATCATCATCAGCATCAGCATCATCATCATCATCATCATCATCATCAGCATCATCATTATCATTATCATCAGCATCGTCGTCATCATCATCATCGTCACCATCATCATCATCATCATCATCATCATCATCATCATCATCGCCATCACCATCATCATCAGCAGCATCATCATCAGCATCATCATCATCATCGCCATCACCATCATCAACAACACATCATCATCATCATCATCATCATCATCATCATCATCATCATCATCATCAGCATCATCATCAATCAGCAGCAGCAGCAGCATCAGCATCAGCATCATCATCATCATCATCAGCATCATCACAATCATCATCAACATCATCATCCCTCATCCCTCCTCTTCCTCCTCCTCCTCCTCCTCCTCCTCCTCCCCCTCATCCTCATCCTCGTCACTCCTACTCCTCTTCCTCATCCTTCTCGTCCTCCGTCCTCTCATCCTCCTCCTGAGACGCACCCCCGCGGGCAAGTTCGGTGATCACCGGCACCCCCACGCGATTGGAGCCGTAAAGACTCGCCAGATGGCAAGCCCGATCCCTGCAGAGCGGACCAGGCTCGCAGCGCGACAGGGCTGAGCCAAAGCGTGCCAGGTATCCTCCTGTGCTCACCTCGTGCAAGGCCGCCCAGCACTAGGGGTAAAACAAACCTACCTCGCTTTTGACCACCCTCGCTTCCAAGAGATACCAAGCGATGCCAAACCACGGCCTGTACTGGTCAGGCCGCTTGACGAGGAGGCGCGTGGTATGACTTGGTTTTGCCTGGAAGCGAAAGCAGGGTAATTCACGCTCTGAAGCACACGAGCACCCCAAGTCAAGGAAGATGGGCTGCCAGGGTACAGGGTATATGGCGCAGGCAGAGCGCCGAGGCTGCCTGAACCGCAAACGGCGCAGTCCAACCTCCACTTGCCCGCTTCGACGAGGCGAAAGGGGTGTGCAACATGGCCTCTGCCGCCAGCCAGGGGCAAGCGGTACTGTGCCAGACCAGTGGCGCAGAGACTGCGTGGCGTGGGCGGAGGCTCGGGCGGCACAACCGACGGCGGGGCACGGGTCTCGCCGACACGCCGACGCGGAGGGACATGGAACGAATCGACGACCACCACAGTAGGCCCAACCTTGACCACCCGAGTGGCACATTCGGCCCAAACCTGGGCCTTCTTGTCGAGTTGTGGCCGGAACTATAAAGGAAAACAAGAAAACTGATTGCCTCCGCTCCTCCTCCTCCTCCTCCTCCTCCTCGTGCTTCTCCTTCTCGTGCACCTCCTGCAGCACCCAAGCGGCATCCCCCAGACGCCGTCCAGGGGCTTCAAGATATCCCACCATGCTTCAATCGGGTCGGGCAGCATTGTAAAGTTTTAAAGGGGGGTTAGCGAATCAGCTCATGTAGGTGATTCTCCCGGCGCCGGGGGCGCCAATCTATCGAGGAACCATCTGCATGTAGAAGGCTTCGCCCCCCTGTCGTCGGAGGCATATTGAAAGGCTAGCAAGGACTCCCGACAGCAGAAGACCCATGTACACTGGAGGGCGGCAGAAGCTGAGTGGGCTCCAGAAGCGGCGAGGCCGTCTTTCACCGTTTCCGGAAAAAAACATCGTACACATGGAAACGGCAACGACAAAAGCGACTGGAAACGACAAAAAAACGGCTCCGGGATTGGAACCGGAACCAGAACCGACAAAAAAACGGCGACGGGACCGGTGAAAACAACGGCGTCGGAGGCAACAACAACAACAACATCAACAACACCATCAACAACAACATCAACATCAACAACATCAACCATTTTAAGGCTGTACGCTCTTACTTGCCCGCGAATCATTCAACACGTATACCCTACACCCTCGATGCCCGCGCTCTTCGTCTTCGATCACACCCCTTTCGGGGGGATTATTTCTCTTTGCTGGGGCCGGCGGGCTTAGACGTACGGGCAAACCGGAACGGGCGGACAATCCTTCGGGGGCGTACATCTCTCTGCCCGCCATTGGAATTGGCGCGGGCCCTGCAAGAGGAGGAGGGGAAGAACGAGGGAGAGTGGGAGGAAGGGGAGGGGGAAGGACGAAGGAAGAGGGAAGATACCACGTTGTGAAGGCGTCCTTGGCGCGTGCGTGGTTCCTGAGCGCCGAAACGCAATTCCAGAATAATTTGTGAGGACGTCGCACGCGAGAGCGCAGTCCTGAGTACATTGTGAGGAAATCTCAGGCGGAAGCGGGGGCCCTGACTAAGTTGCGAGGAAGTCTCAAGCGGGAGCGCCATTCCTGAGCAAATTGCACGGAAGTCTCAGGCGGGAGCGCCGTTCCTGCGTCAATTGCGCGGAAATGTCAGGCAGGAGCGGGGGTCCTGAGTAAAATTCGAAGAAGTCTCAGGCGGGAGCGCCGTTCCCACGTAAATTGCACGGAAGTCTCAGGCGGGAACGGCGGTCTTGATTACATTGCGAGGAAATCTCAGACGGGAGCGCCTTTCATGAGTAAATTGCGCGGAAGTCTCCGGCGGGAGCGGGGGTCCTGAGTAAAAATCGAAGAAGTCTCAGGCGGGAACCGTTGTTGTTGTAGCCCGGGGGGCAGGGGCACAGTTTGAGCAGGAAGACTTCCCTTGAGAAAAAACAAAGTGCGAGCCCCGGGGGTGGCACTTCAATCGAAAAAAATCAATGTGCACCGGTGGGGGGGGATCAACAATAACTATTCTTCAAGAATGAGAGTTCAACGACAACAACGACAACAACGACAACAACAACAACAACAACAATCACTTTACCCGAACGCTCAGTGTTCTCACCAGTGCCAGGGTTTTCATGCGACGCCAGCCAATACCCCCACTTTGTGGGGGGGCAGTGCAAGCTCTACCAAATATCCACACGACTCTTCGCCACCACCCACACCCAGCTTCCCGCCCTATGACGTTCGGACACTTCACTTCGTGGCCTGCGGACGACCGTGGCTACTACACTGGCGTGGAGTACACACCCACAGAAGTTGTTAGGACAGCGCGCGCGGGTAGAAATTTTGAAAAGTCGTGCAGGTGTTTTTCGAGGACCTACGGTGCGATTCGTGTGATTTTATGATGCGCGGTGCTAAAATTCTTAAGAAGCCCAATGGTTTTTGGAGATTTCGGCGTGCGCGCGCGAAGAAAAAACGAATGTGTCCCGCATGGTATTATTTGACAGGGATGATGGCCCTGGCAGGTGCGCAACCGTTGTCGCAGAAGTTCGAAAAAGTTGCTCGCAAAAGCCCGTTTGACAGAAATGTTTAAAAAGTGTTGGGTTTCCTACGAATCCGCAAGAGCGCGCGGGATGAGATTTTGACATTTTTTGTTGAAAAACCATTGGTTTTTTGATGTTTTTATGTTAAAATCGCTGCCGAACACTAAGCTTTTGGAAGGATTTCGTCTTGCGCGCGCGAATGTCCACTTTACCTTATTTTTTGCAAGGGATTCTTGAAATTTGATTATATTAGAACAAGAAATGTCATTTTATAGTGTTTTTTGCAAGGGAAAACGGATTACAACAAAACAACCGGATCTGGATCACATCGTTTTACCTGAGGCTTCCTCACGAAAATGATGAAAATGTAGCTGCGGCCTAGGCGGCGCAGGGGGGCGTGCACCAGGGGGCCCAACAATAATTATTCTTTAGAATAATAATGTTCAACAACAACAATTACTAGCACGTGGGGACACTCCGTTCTCACCAGTGCCAGGGTTTTCATAGGAGGCGGGCAATACCCCCACTTTGTGGGGGGGCCGGTTCAAGCTCTACCAAATTTCCAAACGACTCTTCGCCACCACCCACACCCAGCTTCCCGCCCTATGACGTTCGGACACTTCACTTCGTGGCATGCGGACGACCGTGGCTACTATTCAGGGCCCCGCGGCCGACGACGACGGCGTGCGCGCGCGAAGAAAAAACGAATGTGTCCCGCATGGTATTATTTGACAGGGATGATGGCCCTGGCAGGTGCGCAACCGTTGTTGCAGAAGTTCGAAAAAGTTGCTCGCAAAAGCCCGTTTGACAGAAATGTTTAAAAAGTGTTGGGTTTCCTACGAATCCGCAAGAGCGCGCGGGATGAGATTTTGACAATTTTTTTTGAAAAACCATTGGTTTTTTGATGGTTTTATGTTAAAATCGCTCGAACACTAAGGTTTTGGAAGGATTTCGTCTTGCGCGCGCGAATGTCCACTTTACCTTATTTTTTGCAAGGGATTCTTGAAATTTGATTATATTAGAACAAGAAATGTCATTTTCTATTGTTTTTTGCAAGGGAAAGCGGATTACAACAAAACAACCGGATCCTGTACACACCCTCTTTTCTGAGGCTTCCTCACGAAAATGATGAAAATGTAGCTGCGGCCTAGGCGGCGCAGGGGGGGCGCGCACCAGGGGGCCCAACAATAATTATTCTTTAGAATAAATAATGTTCAACAACAACAGAAACGGCAAGACGGAACCGGTGACCAAAACGGCCCTGCCGTTTCCAGGGCCCACTATGGGCAGGAGGGGAAGAATGCCGACCGGGACGGGACGGACTGGCGGGCATCAACCAGGCCTGGACCTAAAAGTTGTCATTCGTTTTGTTTTCGTCTTGCTCTGCCTTTTTTCCTGTACATCCCTCCCAAAACGAAAGCCAGAACACAGCCGAAGCCCAGCAAATCCGCCGACCCCTTGGGGTTCATCGGCGTGTGAGATGTTCCCCCTCCCCAAACCCCTCCCCCGGGAGCCCGGTCCGGTCGATTTGGAGGGGGGGGG